ATGAACTGTAGTGACTTACGAGACCGAGGAAAGACCTGAGGCAAGCGAAGTCTGTGGGGGCTGGCATACGTTTGATCGCTTCAATGTTCTCCGGGTCTGGAGGGCGGCCATGTTCGTTAATAATGAACCCGAGGTACTTTACAGACTGCATGAAAAACGTGCATTTCTCTCCGCGCACTTTTACGCCGTATTCTTGAATACGACTAATCACGTAATCAAGGCGCTGCCACAGTTCGTGGGGATTGGAACCCATGGCAAAGAGATCGTCCAAATAGGCGGTAACGCCGGAGGCATCCTTCTGCATCGTATCCATAATCTGTTGAAATATGGCTGGCGCTATTTTTGACACCAAATGGCAGTCGGGTGTACTGGAACAGACCTCGATGCGTGTTGATCTTAAGATCAGCTGGCTCCGATCTACTGGCCAGCTGAATACGACGACAATATTGTTGGTACAGTACATTCATCGTAATATTTCCAGTTGACTAAACGTCGCCAGATCCCGCTGCATCTACTTAATTAAACCTAATCAATTGAGATCCCCTCCCTCCATGCAACAAATGAAACGGGCAAAGATAAAGAGCAGAAGATATACCGATGTACTTCACCGCATTTTCTGCAGCTGATTAGCCCCTGAATAATAACAGAGGTCTGCGCCTACGATTCAGTTGGTCAAATACATTCCTCTTTTGAAGAATTAGTGCTGGGTAGGCACACACCTCCAAAGTATTCTGAATTAAGTAAACAAGTGTTCGCGTTATGAATTTGGCGAACTACTGCATTCTCCGCTTCTTATGTCAGAGCACCGGTCAAGTAGCGTTTAATTCATTAAGTCAGCCATCTGAGGCGTGGTTACGAAATGAGCGAACCACGAGAATTCAGTCTTGAATTTCTCTGAGCTCGCTAGTCCATAACCAGATGACGCAATGGAATGCGATCAGCGAAACCATTGCACCCAAGACATTTGGGCGTATTTGTAGGTCTCGGTGGCCATTTAGTACCGCAGGACAATGCGGCATATTATGAAAGGATAGAGAACAAATTCCTGGAGTTTCTCTCCTGCCGGAAAACGAGAAGAGCGCTCGTCCCATGAAATTCCTAAAAGATGTATCGTCGCTTGATACGCGCGACTGGTTCACCACGTCGTTATCCGGCAGCAACGGTCTAATCCGCAGCAATCATACACTTCACCACAAAAGTGCACTTTCTGTATTTCCTTGTTTGCTAAATTCTTTGCCGCCATCAGCTGCATACACTTCACCACAAAAGTGCACTTTCTGTATTTCCTTGTTTGCTAAATTCTTTGCCGCGCATCAGCTGCAACCATTTAACTGAACCTAATCTAGTGAGATCTCACTCCACTTTTGCCAATTAACAATCACAACTGATCGACATCAAGTTCATTCAAACCCATAAACACGCACACACGCGAGTTGACCAACCCAAATATAATGTCACACCATCGGATCCATCTAGTATTACAAGCCGCAACAAGACAAAAAACAGTATCCCCTATTTGAGGCAGCTTGCCAGTTCCCGAGTAGATCAGTATGGTGTATACGGTGTCCTATTTGGATTGCATCATCTATCGTATCCGCCTTCAAACAAACGTCTGTGCAGGTCTATCCGGCGATGTTACTACGGTAATGGTCCAGAGGTATGGCAGGTCCATCCGGTGTCCGAGATTTTGGTCACAGCGAGAATTACCCTTTCGACATATACCTGTTATTACTGCCAACATTGAAGAGACGTGGTTCCATCCGGAGTCCTTGGAATAAGTTTCCCTACCTACCGTTGGATATCGTAAATCCAATCATTGACAGGCATCTCCGAAGCGACTGATAGTTTCAACGTACAGACGGACAACTCCATGAATGTTGCGCTGAAAACCCGTCCATTTATAATCAGTTTAGGCGATACATTCGCCGTGACTCAGATTTGATTTACGTTTACTATGAATTACGTTCGCTACTTTTAAAACCCTTGCCATCAATAACGTTCTCTTGTATATCCCTGTAATTTCACAATCACCGATGCGTGCTTTCCAGTATGCCAATTCGTTGGATAGTGCAGGCATGATACTAAGCCGTAGCATGCCTACCACACTGACGCTTGTACGATAGTTTTGGTAAAAACCTACATACAGAACAATCGTACTCATAAGCAACATTCTTCCAGGTCCTCAGCATCACTTTATCCAGCATTACATCTGCCGCTGTTTGAATCAGGCGGATATCCGAAAAAAGCGTTTATCGGTAGGGCGCCAGTGGGAATCTCATTTTTCTGGCATTCCATTTGGCATGAATGTAAAGACAGCCACAAATATCCGAGTACGTTTGTGTCCCGTCTCCATTTCTTTCAGTTTATTCAGTCTAGATTGAACACTCTCATGTAACTCCGTCTAGACTTTTGTGGAAATATCCGACAAATTCAAGCCTGTTTGGACGTGAACTACTAAGACTCTTCAGTTGGATCCAATTGCAAAATCCTGCCGAATAAAGGGCTTGCAATGAGTATGTACCAGGAATGTTCCGCGGCGAACAAAACCCCGGGAATGTGTCAAAGTCTTCAACAATTTTGTAAATTAGTATGTTTACTAGCCCCAATTCTCTTTCGAATATTTCCGACGGCAGGATAAGCTTTTCGAATCAATTGGGGACAGTAGAGTTTGAAACGACAATACGTGCGTTCTGTGTGCCGTCCAGTAGCAACTGAGGAGTCAGCTGCAATTCTGTCGTCCGCAAAAGCACGACTTCTGGCGAAAATGAACAAAATCCTCCCCTGTATTCACCCTAACAATGCATCAATTTGATCATACAGGTAGCGGGACATTCAGCATGTTGAGAGGAAATTTTGCCGTAAGATATTTATTTTCCCCTTCTAAAACGTGTCGCAAGATTCGTTCAATGCTGAAGTCAACGAAATCACAGTCTGTATTCCAAAAATTCCACTCGCCGTCAACAAAGGCTACAAGGTTTTCGCCCGTTGTGTTCAGTGCAGTTCCTCATCTTCCTATCCTGGTAAAGCATCTCACGAAAACGTTCGGTTTCGTGGCAAGCAAACAATCGACATGAGTTGAGAACGTGACATCAAAGTTCGAGCTGATTCTTGGAAGTTCCGTCTAACAGCCATTAGATATTTTGGTGTTCAGCGCACATTCGAAGTCTTCTGCTCATTAGGATTATTTGTCAAAAATTCGATGCCGATTGTGAGCATCACTGTTCAAACGACATTGAACAGAGGTAAGAACTGCCGACCGCATATTTTGGGTAGCTTTTTTAAAGTCTGAAATCGATGACGCCGCTGTCCTTGAGTTTGGTGGATTTAACTGGGGTGTTATAAATCACACTGGGTTTACTCTCGCTATCCGTAAGTAGAAAGGATGGATATTGTTCCTAAACGTTGCCCAGACGGACCGCTTTGAACGTGAAAACGTGTTTCTCACTGATATCTGCATTTGAGCCGTGCAATTCCTGTGTGTTTGATTGCGGCAAATAGTGAAGACTGATTCGTTGATTGAGGCGACTGGAGATTTCGGCTGATGGTCTTTGGCGGACATTGAAGATTTCTGGTCTAATGAGGATGAAGGGTTTACGGGACAATGACTGAGTCCAGCGAGCGGCTCAACCGCTTCCTGAACAGTAAACAATCGCTTGCGAAGCACTGTTTCACCAAGACGTCAACGTTCTTCCTATGAGAAACCCTTTTGGTCTGAAGAATTCGGTCCCCCAAAGAATTGGAGCTTTGCCACGTAATGAACTATGCAGTGAGTTACGAATTAGTTAGCCATTCTTGTTTCATTTAGCCTCTCTAGGCTTCATAATTTTGTAATGAACCGAAATATGTCAATTCCAATTAGCCTAAACAAGTTTTTTGTACCTCTTTAAACAGCATCCAAAGTTGTGTAATCTCGCATATAAACTAGACAACAGTTGATAAATTAAGTCACGGTCCACCAACGCTGGATGACAATTTATTTTATGTTATAACCCAGCTATCGAGTTTTCACGTCCCCGGATAATCATAGCCAATACTAGACATTATTTTCCCCGGCAGTTTAAGCTTGCGTTCTCATAGTCGCATAAGCCAAATAATACCAGATTTGTATGAAACATTGGTGCTGGACACGAAGCCTCATAACCGTGCCTGTCTGTGCTATTTCTTCCAACCAGTTGCTGTGGATACCCGACGGTTCAACAAAAGCTCGCCTACCGATGAGGGAGGGAATATCCGCTTCGCTGAATCTCCCTCGCAAGGGTCATATAAATGTGCCAACTAGCTCATAACCTCATTCACATGAGGTATTTTCACTTCCTGACGCGGTTTCATGTGTCTCGACATTAGGTGATCATGGATTCAAGATCACGCGGCTTTTTGAATCTCGTTTAACTACGGCTTAAGTGTACTCAGTTCCGAGCTGCTTATTTGCGTCAACCGTGCAGTCAACCGTAGTCCTCAGCCATTGCACTGACAAACGACACGCGAAAATCGAAACATCGCCATCATCATCATCCTCGTCATCGTCATTATGATCAACGTCGTCATCATCATAATCATCCTATTCGAAGCCACCCGAGCAATCAGCATCATATTTGATATTTACGTACGACCTCGGCGAGCAGGACGGCTGATCACTTAGGGCGAAGGCCTACTGTAGGGGAGAAGCAGTTCGATCCGCTTCGATCATGTGAGAACCCTCTCTTAATATACACCCGTTAGTGACGCTAACAATGAAGATACGTGATTCCATCTGGTGTCCGTTTGGTAAACTTTCCAAGCAGTGCAGATCGTACACCCGATCATCCACAAACACCTAAGAAAAGGTTTACTGCCCCAACGCACAAACGACAATACCGCTTCGAAAAAACACCCATTTGGAACCAGTTTGATGCAGTTAAGCTGAAGAAAATTGTGGTCCATGTGTCACATTGAAATGAGTCACACTGAGTTCACTTGACTTGCCAACCAATTCTGCTATCCTGGTGCCACACATCTAGTGATCGTTGCTCATCTAATCTGCTCATTCGTCGATTAACGGTTTGAACGAGTAACGCTTGCGACAAGACAAAAACGGATCGCGTTGCGATCTGCGCCTAATCGTTGGCGCATCTCTGGCTCAAAAGCGTCAAAACGAGATCAGACTTGTCCATTACTCAAGGCCGATTGTACGGCCTTCGGAATGGACGAATCACACGACGACCGGTCGATGATTTGCTAGTTTCACTCAATCAACCGATTGGATAAGTAGTTGTGGTAAAAAGCATGCCGATGTTCGCGACCCGTACAAATTTACGAACTTCTTAGAATGCATCCATTTCACCTTATCCTGCAAACATTGTCAGTATTTGTGTGTATAATTTACGGTAAAAAATCATGTAAGTATTTCCACCTGATAGTTCAGGAAAATAATTTTACCCAACACTTTCTTACACTCGGTTTAGAAATTTTGGAAAATCACAGGAACTGTAGTAGATTCACCAATTTTGAGAACAGCGAAAGACATACATCATCACGGGAAAATCATTTTATTTCCTTTTGTTGTTTGCAGTTGAACAGTTGGAGGGCCTTATGCAAGCCTACGTGCCAATCAGTAAGTTCTACAGAATTGCTGCCACATTCTGTCTCATGTTAATTTGTCCATGATTTCCAGCAGACTCACCATTTTCGCGTGGTCCCTTGAGAGCTTATCTGAGTGGCTCATGACGCCATCCAGTGGTCTATTTCTACACTCCGTGCAGAATTAACAGGTATTGTTACGGTAACGGTACAGATTGCTCGCATTTATTTGAGGTTTATGCGAAATAATTTTGAGAGAAAGAACACGAACGAAACTCCGCTTTCGAAGCATACTTCCTTCCAGGCCGTCGCAGGTTACCTACCAGCCTGACCGTTTGTCAGCATATTCTACATTCACAGTTCGAAATCATTTCAAGACTCTTCTGAGAACCGTCGGTGATCCACCATCTACGCAGATGAAGTGAATGTTCAGTAAGGACAGCAAGGAGCACTATAGTGAATCTCAGTTACTACCATAACCTAGCAGATTTAGAAAGCATGCTATCATGGGCATTCTCATTTATATTGCTGTTATATCCGGTACACAAGTTCGTTGAAAATTACGGACTTGAATTAGCGACAGAATATGTTAGTACATCTCCAGCGAAAACTCCAAACAGAACAATCGTCACTCATAAGCGGCACTTTTCAAGACCACCAAACTCTTTTTTGGCAGCACTGCATCTGCCACTCTCTGCGGTAGAAATTTGTGGAACAATAGTACTTGATGGTAGGGGCCAGTGAGAATCTTGATTTGTGACATCTTACATTGTTTCAAGTAGAAGCTGGTGAGGATAGCGGCAACCAAACAATCGAGCCGGTAGGTCAGATCACGACATGAAAGTCATAGCTGAACTGATTAATATTTGGTTCCAGCTGAGCAGAATTTCTTGTTAGCTACTGGTTGGTTACCGACAATATACTTGTGTTCAGGTTCCTCAATCGGACGGATGTTGATCTCATCCGGACACACGAAGAATATTGCGGGTTCGATAGAAGCGTCTCCATAATTGTCATGTAACATCGTTATGTGGATGTAGTTTCGAAACATCAGATGACTTGAATGGACACACATTTGTAGGCACAATTGGAAACATGACCTCCAGCAGGATACGGAGAATATCATCACCGGTTTAACCTAATATATCACATCGATAACCTACACACTATGGGAACGTTTGAAGGCCTAAGAGTGAGTGGTGCAAGTGTACAGCTCAGATATCCGACATCATAAATTCAAATCACCTAATTTGGACTCACTGTTCCCCAGTTAGTAATACTAGTCAGGTTACATTTACATTCTCGGGCCACCTAAAACAATGAGGAGAATTTACCCACGAATAAAAAAGAGTATAATGAGACGGTTGTTCCCAACCAAATTGAGCACGCAATTATAACGTCAGTTCATCTGCAGAGGGCACTTGAGCACATATCTGTGGGTTTCTTACTCGTAACTAGTTCCAGAAAAAGAACTATTGATATAACATTTCAAAGTCCCCTTCAAATAACTCATCACGTCTGCTGAGAATAACCACTCG